CGGCCCCTCCCACACCCTCGGCTGCGCTCCACTCTCCCGAGAGTTGCCCGGCCCCTTCGGTGAGGAGTTTGGAGCCGCCCCACTGCAGAGTCCACACCGGCTGAGCCAGAGCCACGCGAGTGCGAGAGCCCGGGTGCGGCCGCCATCTCTGCTTTCCGTCTGGGTTGGACCCCGGCACCGAGCGCCACGGAAAGGACGGGCCAACCCGCCAACTTCTTTTCCGCCTCCTTCCTACACTTTGGGACGGAAGGGACTGCGACTTAAACCATAAGCCTGGGGCCCTGGAGGAAGGATTTATTGGTTTGGATGACAGAAGAAAAAAAAAAAGTGTGTTATAGACTCGAGCCTCTGCTTTCCACCCTTTTCTGCTATCCTCAAGCAAATTAAAAACAAAATACAAGACCCAATCCCAATCAAAGCGCCTGTTTAAAGGGATTCGTAGAGGTGAGAAAAAGACCGGACCGGACTGGGGAATCACTTCGGAAACCTCAGGTATGATGAGGCCGGCTCAGAAATTGGGTGTTGTGGGTGCTATTTCCCTTGTGTTTGTAAACAGGATGACACGGGCTCTTGTAACCCTGGAGGAGTTCCTTATAGTGAGGGGTTGCTTAGAGTGTTCTTTGTTAAAATTCTTTCCCCAAATCTTAAAGGATGTGGAAACAAATATTCTTTCAGAGCTTTGGACTTGAAGTCAGAATTTTGGTATGACGTGCCCTTTGTCTGTGACACTGGTTAGCTTAACTTCTCTGGGCCTCAGTTTCCTCATCTGTCAAATTAGGGGGTTGGATTGGGATGCCGAGGGCCTTCTAATAGTAACTAAGATGTTTCCCAACTTAAAAAAATGTATAATTCTGTAACTCTTTGGCATGTTAGATTCATAATTTCATGACATTGGTTCTTGGCATTTTTGTATATAGGTATTTATGATTTGTACCTGTAGATTTTTCAAACCAAAATTAAAAAGAAAAAAACACTTATAAAAGGGTTCAGAAATATATAGTTTACGTGTAAATACTTAGATCATCTCTCACAGTACCTTAAAAAACCTTGTTCAACTTTAAGTCAGTAGAGTATTTGTAACATTGCAACAAAAACCGTGTGCCATCAGCAAAGTACTTACTCTCTTTCAGCATTGTACATTTGGAATACATAAAAATTGTTTTGGAGGAAAACTAAAAATTTCACATTTCCTATCAATTACTGATCTTGAACAGTGTTTGTTACTTTTTAGCATAAAGGTGTGTGTAGAATATTAAAAAAATGGTTTCAGACCACTTCAGAACCTCTCTGAATTAAGCTCAGGAGCAGAGATGCCAATTTTAGTAATGCATTTTGGTCCCCTTGGAATGAATCCCAGAAAATAGCAGAGGTTAACTAAACTGATAAGCCAGAAATTAGGAATTGACACACACACACACACACACAGGAAGTTATACAAGCAGTGTGTACTATAAAGTGTCATTGAACCTTTCATTTCTTTTTTATTAAAACAACAACAACAGACAACTATTGGCTTAAGCAGACAGAGAATATTAGAATGGCTTTTGTTGTCACTTGTAATTCAGAATTATTTAAGATTTAGTCGTCAGCCATTAGGATAGGTTTAGAAGTGGTCTAGCTTTTTAGGTGGCTTTGATATAAAATAAAGTCTTCCCACCAGCATGTGTGTTGTCTGCAGTGAGGGAGAATGGAATGGATTGGAAGTATTCTCTTATGAACACATTTGAACTTAGTTTCAGGACCTTTTTGCTTCTGGGCTGGAAGTCTCATAAACCAATCAATCATTCAGGCATTTGCCTTCTCTCTTATGCTCTGGTGAAGTAGAACAGTGGTTCTCAACCTTCCTAATGCCGCGACCCTTTAATACAGTTCCTCATGTTGTGGTGGCCCCCAACCATAAAATTATTTGCGTTGCTACTTCATAACTGTAATTTTGCTACTGTTATGAATCGTAATATAAATATCTGATATGCAGGATGTATTTTCATTGTTACAAATTGAACATAATTAAAGCATAGTGATTAATCACAAAAACAATATGTAATTATATGTGTTTTCCGATGGTCTTAGGCAACCCCTGTGAAAGGGTTGTTCGACCCCCAAGGGGGTCACGACCCACAGGTTGAGAACCGCTGAAGTAGATGATTATCTCCTTTGAAGCAGATGTTCAAAGAATTCAACAAACTATTGAATGAACCCCCAGCAGTAGAACTGATATACCCTGGCTTCTCCTTGCTTTTTTAAATATATTTTCATGGATTTCAGAGAGGGAGAGAGAGATAGAACAATCAATGATGAGAGAGAATCATTGACTGGCTGCCCTCTGTACACCCCCTACTGGGGATTGAGCCCACAACCTGGGCATGTGCCCTTGACTAAAATCAAACCCGGGACCCTTCAGTCCATAGGCCCATGCTCTAGCCACTGAGCCAAACCAGCTAGGGCTCTCCTTGCTCTTTGCAAAACAACTGGGAACAGTGGGTGGATCTGACTGCTCATAGTCCACAGCCAACTCATTCATGGCTTAGAAGCATCATTATGGTTGGCAGAAGCTCTAGTCCTCTTTTGTAATGTGGGGATTTTACTCTCACGAATTTACCAAGAAAAAACCGTCATGTCTTCACACTTAGATCACTATTATATAACCAAATGGTTTGTGTTTGTGAAGTGCCACATCTCAGGAGGTCTTGGAAATAAAACTAAAATATCCATTAAAAAATGAATGCCTTGGCAGTTACTGTACTGCATTTTTTCATACTCAGAGCCAAACACACAGGGAGTTGTATGGAGTTAAAAATGAAGAAAATGGCTATAGTCTGATTTAATTCTTAAGATTTTTTGTGGTTTACAAATCCTGCTTTTAATTAAACCAGAAAGGTACAAATGTTCACCAACTGGCCAAACCTATATACATAATGTTTTAGAATTTTAATTTAAATCTGGTCTTCTCAAATACTTTTTAAAACTTTGTGACAATAGGCAAATGCCCCACTATTCACCATGTAAGAAAAAACACACATTGCTATTACTCTGAAACCTTTTCCTTTATCCTTCCTGATCACAAGTTTTTTTGGAATTTTATATAAATACTAGGGGCCCAGTGCACAAATTCATGCACCTTGAAAGGTACTCTGGGCTGGGAGGCTGTGGTGGGCACAGGGGCAGGTCTTGGCCCATCCTCCATGCCCCCACTCTGCCCCTCCCACCACGGCCACTTGTCCCCTGTCTGCTGGCAGCCCCCACCACTGCCGCCGCTCCCACATGCTGATGTCACAGAGCGATAGGGGCCAGCACCAGCAGCAGGTGTGAGCAGGGCCGGCACCATCAGTGGGTGCAAGCGGTGGCTGCTGCCCCCATCACCCTTCAGAAGCAGGGGCAGATAGAGAAACCCTCAGGGATGATCGGGACTGGCAGTCGCTTGCACCCACTGATGGCAATGAGCGATCAGGACCAGCGCCGGGCACCAGCAGCAGGTGTGAGCAGCAGCTCTGGCGCTGGCTGTGAGCAGGGCCGGTGCTGGCAGTGGGTGTGAGCAGTGGCTCCAGCACTGGCAGCGGGTGCGAGCGGTGGCTGCCAGCTCTGATTGCCCTTCAGGAGCAGGGGAGGTGGAGAAGCCCTCAGGGGCAATTGGGGCCAGTAGCCGCCACTCACACCCACTGACAGCACTGAGTGATCAGGGCCAGCGCTGGGCACCAGCAGCAGGTGTGAGTGGGGCCAGCGCCGGCAGCAGGTGCAAGTGCCCAGTGGGACTGTGGTGCATGGGAGCAAAGAATTTTCAGTAACCACCAGAGGCTCGGCCCAATGACAGCAACTGGCGCCCCGCCTTGGTCTGGCGACCCTGCTCACCTGCTCCACCATCCCACCATGGCTGAAGCCCACCATCTTCCGCGCTCTGCCGTCTGTTGCCAACGCCCACCATGTTCCATGCATGCCCCCTGGTGGTCAGCGCACATCACAGCGACTGGTTGTTCCGCTGTTTGGTCTATTTGCATATTAGGGTTTTATATATATTGATAGGAGGCCTTCTTTCTTTATTTTTTAAAATTCTTTATTGTTTAAAGTATTACATATGTCTCCTTTTTCTGGAGGCATTCTTTCATAGATTCTTTTGCTTAATATTATATTTGTAAGATTAAGCAATTCCTTTGTTTCCCTTTATTTTAAATCCTCACCCAAAGATAGCTTTTTTCATTGATCCTAGAGAGAGAACAGATAATTAGCATATTATTCTCTTATTATATAGGATTATATATTTCTGGCTCCTTTAAAGAAATTTAGAACTATCTACAGCAATGAGATTGAGCTGAGCACAAACTGCTCTCTTTTCCTCTTTTTTAAAAAAGGATTAAATCTTTATTGTTGAAAGTATTACATATGTCCCCTTTTCCCCCAATTGACCCCTTCTAGCCTGCCCCACCCCCTGCCCCAGGCCTTCACCACCCTATTGTTTGTATCCACAGGTTATGCATATATGCATACAAGTTCTTCGGTTGGTATCTTCCCACCCACTCTCCCTCTCCCACCTTCCCTCTGGGATTCCATACTGTTCCATGTTTTTATGTGTCTGGGTTTATCTTGTTCATTAGATTCCACATATGAGTGAGGTTATGTGATATTTATCTTTCTCTGACTGGCTTATTTCCTTTAGCATAATGCTCTTCAGGTCCATCCATGCTGTTGCAAATGATGAGTTCTTTCTTTTTTACAGCTGCCATCGTGTAAATGTACCACAGCCTTTTTATCCACTCATCTACTAATGGGCACTTGGGCTGTTTTTATCAGATTTTAGTTATTGTAAATTGTGCTGCTATGAACATAGGGGTGCATACATTCTTTCTGATTGATGCTTTCGGTTTCTTACGATATATTCCTAGAAGTGGGATCACTGGGTCAAATGGCAGTTCCAATTTAATTTTTTGAGGATACTCCATACTGTTTCCCACCGTGGCTGCATCAGGCAGCTTGGTCATGGGACCTGGGGTCTGCGCCAAATGTAAAGCATTGTTACTATATTACATCAGAGATGATGATGAAAAATAGTGGAGAGTGAATTGAACTCTTCAGAAAAAGGGTGTTGGGTAAATTAAATATGTTGTCAAGAGCCCCTGAATTATATTTGAGGAAAGTGTGAGATGGAACTTTATTAGATAGGTTACAGGTTTTTCTAAGGCAACAGAGAAGATAAAAATGCACTGAGCATCAAAATAGAAGTATTTATCTTCTCTCGTAAGCCTGGGCAAGTGGATGGCTTCTTCTAAGATTTTTATGGTTTCTGTTTTATGTTAAAATCCTTTATCCATTTTGAGTTTATTTTTGTTTATGGTGTTAAGTTGGTTGTCTAGTTTCATTTTTTTTGCATGTATCTGTCCAATTTTCCCAACACCATTTATTGAAGAGACTGTCTTGACTCCATTGTATGCTCTTGCCTCCTTTGTTAAATATGGAGCACAATGACTTGGGTTGCTCTCTGGGTTCTCTGTACTGTTCCATTG